CCCAAAAAAAAGGCACCTATCCACCCTATGTGCCTGACTAATGGAACTCGTTTACTGTTTGGTGGCTCTGTCTGATGGGGTTTTTTTTGTTGTTGTTGCTGCTTTTGTTTGTTTTTTGGGTTTTTTCAAACCACGACTGTAAGCCCCTTGGTCCTAAACCCGTATGATACGCTGGGATGCGATGACGCCAACTCAACGTTTATAATATATGATTACAGATCGAATTTATTATACTATAGTGCGATCAAAAATTCGTGGCGCAACTTATCCTCAAATATATCTTTAACGGGTTCATCAATGTCACCCATACTTTGCATATCAGTTTGTATCAATTTGTCTTAATGAGGCTCGATTAAAAAACTTTTCTTCATAAATTAATATAAAATGCCATAAATCTCCATCACGCGGATAATATGATTGTTCACAGCAATGCGATGACGCTTCTCGCACACAATTGCATACACGTATGGCCTACGTCACAGCTCGCCAATGGCACTTTTTAATGGCTGAACTTCTTACCAAAAAACAATTTTATAGTGAACCCGTTTTTTGCACTGAAGGTTCCCTAAACATACGTTCAATAAGCGTATATTGCTATGAGAAAAAAAGACAGACTTGCTTTTAAAAGCGATATTGCCCGAACTGTAAACTAGAAACCATTGACTGGGATTTTTTCAATTAGTATTTATTAAAGAATGTTCTAGAATACAGTGTGCAGGAGTTTGAAAAAATATTCACCTCTTAAGACAAATTGATGTAAGTCATTTTGCAAAAGTTGGAGACTCTAAGTTCTATAGGTGAGGAGATAGAGAGTTTTCACAATAAGTTGCGCCATGTTTTTTTTTGGCCACACTATTGTAATTCTTACTACGGGTTGAAAAAAAATAGGCGAAATATTCGTTATCCCAAAAAAATCCCACAGTATTCGAATGGTTCTGCCACGCTTCGAGTAGCTGTGAATAGTGCAAAATCATGAATGTTGAATAGTAGTAGTAGTATCGAATGTGCTCAGCTCTTGTGTGTGTGTGTCACATGGCGGTACATGTTATAGATGGTCGCTTTTAAGCACAAGGGGGCTATCCCGAAAAATAATGTTTTGAGAAAGTCGAAGGTAAAGTTTTTGCCCCTTGTTAATTTTCTTTAAAAGACAAGGAGAGTTTTCTCTATATCCTAAGAAATATACACACTGATGAAATCAAACTTCTCTCATAGGTAGGCCAACGCCCACTTCTGGTCTAGGTCAAGATCTCTGGAAACCCCGGGAATTTAGATTAGCCCACTTGTCCTTGAAAGCGACCAGCTATTAGAGGCCACCAGTTACATGTACTGTGTAATTGTTTATCGGCTCTCTGGTTGTTCTTACGTGATAAATACGATTCAGTGCACGCGGGGGAAGCATGCCAGTTTGTCACAGGCCCAGTTTGTCATAGGCCTCGACTGCGCCCTGCATGATGGAAGGAAGTTATCACTGACGACACTCTGAAAAAGAGTAAATTATTCATGATTGATTGATTTTATGAATTGAATTTTATTTTTCTATTTTTTTAACGAAAGAACATTCATTGTTGAAATTTTACAGAGTAATTTAAATTTGCTTTGATTTGCATACAAAAAAGGAAGAAGTAAATATTGAACAACACAAGCTGAATTGACATTTTAGAGGGACTATCTCAACACCGTCAATTTGAAGGTGGGGAATAAAAAACTGTAGTTACAACTACAGTGTTAAAGTGCTGTAATTATGACTGTCATCAATACTCAAATTTTATACATTGTACTTAAATGAAATTGTAACAAACTGGGCCAGTGACAAGCTGGGTAGCCCCCCC